TCCACAGGTTGACTGTGCATTGTGTGAAGAAATACTTCCTTTTGTTTGTTTTAAACTAGCTGCCTATTAATTTAATTTGGTGACTTCTAGTTCTAAAAACAGACAGAATAGCTAGTCCTTTCACCACTAAAGCCTAGAGTGACTTTCTGGAAGGCTCAGGCTTATGGCCCACTTAGGACATTATAGTGACTAAAGCCTAGGGGCAGAGTGCTTAGTACCATGAGTGGGTCCACTGACTTTCAGTGGGACTACTCACAGGAGTAAAGTTACTCACATGTGCACATTTGCAGGATCAGGCCTTCAACTGTTACCAGTAACTGAACACAAGTTTGTCCAATTAACAGCTTTGCTTAAGACTAGATTGCAACTTGTCCTTGTGGGGCGATGCTGGGGGAGGCACAAAACCTTTCCCCAATGAAGCCCTGCCAATGGCCAGCCATAGTCACTGCATTTGAGGGACAAGAGAGACTGATCCCTCTGTGCACACCCCAGGAAGAGAAATCTCCTCAAAGGAAGAGAAGAAGGACTAGAGCAGGCTAAGCACAGGACTAGGGGTAGCATGCTTATCTGGAAGTTCAGGGATGGATTGTGTCTCCCCATGGTGAAATCCCTTGCTGAGCTCCCATCGGGGTGTTTCAGCTCTATGTATCTAGTCAGGACTGAGTTATAAAGACTCAATATAGCCCTTCATAGCCAAGTATTATAAATGAATAGATTACATGTCTGTTGCCCTTTCATCAATCTGAGCAACATTTCATTCGATGAGGACAGTAACATGGCGCCTGTAGAAATCAACAGCAGATAGTGTGTTGTTAAAAAAAGAGGTGGTAGTTACTTCAGCGCACTGCACTACTACAATCTTGTTTAGAAGAATATTACGTTAATGACAGACAATGAAAGTATGGAGAGTCACCGATTAGGATGAAACATAAAAGCGAGACGATGGTCCAGTGGTTAAGGTGCTAGCATAGGACTTGGGAGACCCAGCTTCCCTGCTCCATCACAGACCTTGGGTAAGCCACTTAAGGCTCAGATCCTCAAAGGTAAATAAGCACTTAACTACCATTGATTTTAATGGGAGTTAAGTGCCTAAATACCTTTGAGGATGTGGGCCTTAGGGAACTGAGCACAGAGAGGTTATCTTAAAATGGGGATATTAGCACTTCTCTGCCTCAGAGGGGAGTTGTG